TTGCTGGCACCCTGGTCTGGGACTTCCAGCCCCCAGAAACGTGGGAAATAAATTTCTTTCGTTTATAAGGTACTTGGTTATAGCAGCTCAAACAGACTAAGACAGCAGAGAGGAAGTTCTGGCTTGCCTTACACTGGTGACAGGAAAACCCTAACCCCTCCTCATTTTCTTCCTCTGCTCCTCTGACACTACCATTAGAACGCTTGGCATATTCATCTTAGTTATTTTTAATTTTTTTTAAATGTTTTTAGATTCCCAGTCTGATAATTCTAAAATCTCTGCCATATATGAGTCTGGTTCTGATGCTTGCTTTGTCTCTTCAGACTGTGTTGTTTGCCGTTCAGCGTGCTTTGTAATTTTTTTGTTGAAAGCCAGGCATGTTGTATTGGGTTAAAAAAAAAACAAACAGGTAAATACAGCTTTATTGTCAAGTGATATGTTTATCTGATTAGAAGTTAGTCTATGTTTACTGCCTGTTATAGCTGTGTTCTCAGAGAATGAAGTTCCCTCTAGTGTCCTATTTTTTTGTCTTGTTCGCTATCATCTTTGAGTTTTCCTAGAGACTGCTCAAATAGGGTCTTAGGTTTGTGGTTCTTTCAGCTGTGATCCTCTGTTTCACAGGAGCCCTGTTGATGGGGTGGTAAGTATGTAGGAAGAGAAACATTCTATAGTCCTATGACTAGGTCTTACTCTTACGGAGCATGAATTGGGTATTTCCACTGTGCCAGATTGCAGATTTTGGCAAAACTGCAGTAAATGAGGGTCTGATAAAATAGTTTCCCTCGCTCAGCTTTGTTAAGGAGAATATAAGTTTGGGGTATATTTGAAAACTGGTTACGTTTCTAAATGTAAAACAAGTTGTTAATTTTTCAGTTCAGCTTTTTTCTTGTTGTGAGAACAGAAGTGGCAACTATATCCTTCAGAGCACTAAATTTGATGTATTCCACAATTTTGATGTTCTGTTTTTATTATCAGTTGAAATATTTTCTGATTTCCCTTGTAATTTTGTTTTTTGCCCTGGGTTTAGAAGTGTAGTATTTTAATTTCTTAATAATGGGGTACTTTCTAGATATCCTGTTATTCCTGATGTCTACTTTTTTTTTTTTTTTTTTTTTTTTAATTTTTTTTTCAACGTTTTTATTTATTTTCGGGACAGAGAGAGACAGAGCATGAACGGGGGAGGGGCAGAGAGAGAGGGAGACACAGAATCAGAAACAGGCTCCAGGCTCCGAGCTGTCAGCCCAGAGCCTGACGCGGGGCTCGAACTCATGGAGCGCGAGATCGTGACCTGGCTGAAGTCGGACGCTTAACCGACTGCGCCACCCAGGCGCCCCTCCTGATGTCTACTTTTAATTCCAGTGTGATTAGAGGAATATACTCTGTAAATTTTCACATTTTTGAAATTTATTGAGTCTTGCTTAATGGCCCTACATATGATCTGTCTTGTTGAATATTTTATATGCACTTTACCCATCTACTATCTATCTATCTCTATCTATTTATTTATTTTAGAAAGAGTGAGAGCATACAAGTGGGAAAGAAGGCCAGAGGGAGAGAGAGAGAGAAAGAATCTTAAGTGGGGCTCGATTCCACGACTGTAGGATCATGACTGAGTTGAAATCAAGATTTGAAACACTCAGTTGACTGAGCCACCTACGCACCCCTTTATGTACACTTTAAAATCTGTACTCTGGAATTGTTGGGCATAGTATCCTATAAACTATTAGGTCAGGATGGCTGATGTTTCATTTAGATCTTCTAGATTATTACTCAATTTTTTCTTTACTCTGTCAGTCACTGAAAGAGGATATAAAAATCTTCAATTATGATTGACAGTTTGTCTGTTTTCCCTTTTAGTTCTTTTAGGTTTGTTACATGGATTTTGATATGTTTTTCTGACATATTTTCATCATAATGAAGTGTCTTTATCACTACTGGTATTCATTATATTGAAATTTTTGTCATATAATATAGCCACTCCAGTTTTCTCATATTATTATTTATAAAGTATATCTTTTTCCATCCTTTTATTCCAAGACGACATAGCTGGGCCTTGTTCTTTTGTTACCCTCTCTTACAATCTCTGATTTTTAATTGGATAATTTAGTACTTTATTTATTTTTTAATTTATTTTTTTAATGTTTAATTTTGAGAGAAAGAGAGCATGAGCAGGGGAGGGGCAGAGAGATAGGGAGACACAGTATCCAAAGAAGGCTGCAGGCTCTGAGCTGTCAGCACAGAGCCCCACTTGGGGCTTGAACTCACAAACTGTGAGATCGTGACCTGAGCAACATTCAATGCTTAACCAACTGAGTCACCCAGGCGCCCCCAAAATTACTAACATGGTTGAGTTTCAGTCCAATACTATATGCTCCCTCTGTTGCTTTTTGTTTTTTTTCTCCTTGCTCTCTTTTGGATTAGTTCAATTATAATTAATATTACATTGACTTCTCTATTCCCATTTCTAGGGAGACCGTTCTCCAAAAATCTTTCACATTTTTGCATAAGTTTTGAGCAAGGTACTGACTGTCCTTTGTCCTTACCATCTTTTCAAGGGTGTTTACATAATGAATAAGCTTGGATGATACAGTGTTTCCCTCTAGGGCAAAGGAAAGTTATCCTCACTGCCTATTATAGAGGATTTGGGTTCCCTATGGTCAGATTTCCCCTCCTATAATGCAGGCCACCATATGTTCAGGTGTCTTCCAGCCTTCTTCAGGTTGCCTTGTGGAAATTGGGGCTCAGGAAACTGGCACAGAAATGCTGATACTCTGGCTGCTGCTGGTCCTGTGAGTAATAAACTGTCCTTTACCTCTTATCCCAGAGATTCTGATCTTCTACCAGCTCTCATGATACTGTGGCTGGCTGATTTGTCAACTTGCAGGTGGAGTACAGTCCCAGCCCCTTCACAGTTCTTGACACCATTCACTCTCCTCTTTATTTGTGCTATAGCTTCGTGTACAGTTCATCTTTGCATGTTACAAATTCCACATTTCACTATTAGAATTTTTTATTTAGAGTCTTGTATCTTTTAAAGTAGTTAAAAGGAGAAAGGGGGAAAATAAATGTTTCGTATATAACCGCATATTTACCATTTCTCCTGTACTTCCTAACTTGTTTGAAGATCTTAGTTGCTATTTGGCATTGTGGCCCTCTTCCCTGAAGAACTTTTCTCAACATTTCTTTCGTGCAGGTATTTTGGCAGTTTTTCTCTCAGCTTTTGTTCTAGTGAAATGTCTTTATCAAGCATTTTTTTGAAGCCTGTTTTGGCAACATACAAAATTCTGGCATAATGTGTTTTTCAGTACGTTTAACGTGTCATTCATTATCTTGTGGCCTTCCATGTGTCCGATGAGAGGTTAGCCTTCATTTGTATCACCCCTTATCATTTTTCTTTTCTTTTTTTGTTTTCACTGTGTTTATTTTGCTTGGGACCCTTGTGATTTTAGGCTCTGTAAATTGGTATGTTTCACTTATTTGGGGAGGTTTTTGGCCATCATTTGTTCAGGTTATTTCTAAGACTGTTTTCTCTCCTTTCCTGTCTGATTCCATATAAAACCATTCTACCACTTAATGTTACCCCAGTGTCCCTGAGCCTCTGTTCATTTTTCTTCATTCTTTTTCTCCCCCTTCTTCAGATTGAAGATCTACCTTCAAGGTCACCAACTCTTTATTTGCTGCTTCCACTCTGCTATTAAGCCCACTTAGTGAATTTTTCATTTCAGGTTTAGAATTTTCATTTGGCTGTTTTTTATGGTAACTGTTTCTTTGCTGAAATTCCAAATTTGTTCACTCATTATGTATGTATCCTCTTTTTAGTTTTTTAAATATATTTATAATAGCTGCTTTAGAATTCTTGTCTGCTAACTATATTATTTGAAATTTCAGTATTGATTTCTATTGACTACTTTTTCTTTAAGTATGGGCATATTTTGTTCTATAGCTAATCAATTTTTTAAAATTTTTTAATGTTTATTTTTGAGAGAGAGCGAGAGAGAGAGCAGGGGAAGGGCAGAGAGAGGGAGACACAGAATCCGGAGCAGGCTCCAGGCTCTGAGCTGTCAGCACAGAGCCCAAAGCGGGGCTCGAACTGACGAACCATGAGATCATGACGTGAGCTGAAAGTTGGACGCTTAACCAACTGAGCCACCCAGGCACCCCTAATCAATTATGATTGCATAGTGGAAGTTATGAATGATGCGTTGTAAGGACTCTGGATTTCTTTTATATTCGAAAGAGTCAGTTTTGTTCTAGAATTCTAGCACTGAACTTTGGCTCTATTCAGACTCCATATTTAGGTTCCCCTGTGGTGAGTTGCAGCTGAAACTTCCACTCAGCAGCTTTTAGCTGCTGCTTTTTTTGTTGTTGTTGCTGTTGCCAGCACTTTGTTATCTTCCTCTAGGCATTGCATAATTTATTAGCGAGCCAAATTTTGTGGCTGATTTTGTATGCAAACTTTGTGCACTCTTTATTTACCACCCCGCACTCTGTATTTGCCACCTTAAGCAAGTACATGTGCTGTTCTCAACTGACTTCCATGGGCAAAAAGCTACAAACTTGCAAATCTCTCATTGCTCTCTCTTAACAGTACTTTCCTCGATCTTTACCTGCTTTTGATTCCTCTCCAGAGAATTCAAGTATTGGGTTTAAATAATATTTTCTCAGATTCTTTAGTAGGTCAAGAGAGTTAATCTGACCAATTCTCTGCTATTACTCCAATTCCTTTTTATAATAAACTTTATAAAACTTGGCATCTAAGCCCTAAGTAGAATAATCCAAAGCTTAGTGACATAGTTTTTATTCTGCTTAGCAGAAAGTATCATTCAGAAATGTTTTACTTATGTTTGAAAGTTTTAAAAGAATGGATGTAATGTAAGTTTGAGAAACTCATATTTTGGACATAAATGCTTAAAAGAATCAGTGTACCAATCATTTATCAAAAAGTTTGTAATGTTGGGTTCAGGGATATATTTTGACACTTTTTTCTATTATAATTTTAGGATGCCTTTTTGAAAATCATTCGAAATGAGGGCATTAAATCCCTGTGGAGTGGCCTTCCCCCTACTTTGTAAGTTATAATTTACTATTTTTTCTCACTAAATGGTGATTGCTGTTTTATTTTGCCTTATAGTAAACATGGTTGCATAAAATTGTGCATAAAATTTTTAATATTAGGATTTTTTCATTTTCTAAAACATTGTTTTGTGAGTCTCACAACCACCCACATATTTGATGATTTGTTAGAAGGACTCACAGGACCTAAGGTTATACTCATGTCTGTGATTTACTGCAGCAAAAGGAGACAAAGCAGAATCAGTAAGGGAAAGGCACAACAGTAGTTGACCAGACAGGCACAAGGCTTCCAGGGCCCTCCCTGGTGACATCCCACAGGACATGCTTGTTCGTCCACCACTGAAGTACAGCAGCATGTGCAAAGTGTTTCTACCTTAAAATCCATTTGAATGGCAGTCTGAAGCTTACATTGGGATTGATGACCTTGCTTTATGACCAGCTGTGATTACCAGAACTCCAGACCCCCCAGAAGAAAACAGATATTTACCAAAAACCACATAATTTGCACAAATCAGCCTAAACAAGTTGACTTTGTGCTACAAACATACCGAAGAAACCTTATTGCAGGGACTATTCCAAGGGCTAAATTCCTTAGAGTTGGCCAAAAGTCAGGCATGCAGAAAGGTCCTCCTGAAGATAAAGAAGATTTGAACAACCAGGCCTGCTGTGTTAGGTCTTTGGTGCATAATTTTGTTTGCATTTTCTGAAATGAAGACTTTGGTGTTATTTGGTTTTTTATTTATTTTACTAACAAGAAATACCCTGATGTGTGTACTTTCCCTTTACTGGATAATTTTAATTCTCTACTAACTAGCTATTATATGAGTTAATATGATAAACTAGTAAGGCTAAATGGAAAAAGCCCAAGTAATACTTTGTTTCATTTCTTTTTCTTTTAAATTTTTTAAATGTTTTATTTTTGAGAGAGTGACAGAGCATGAGTCGGAGGAGGGAGCAGAGAGAGGGAGACAGCAGGCTCCAGGCCCTGAGCTGCACAGAGCCCAACACGGGGCTCAAATCCATGAACCGCTAGATCATGACCTGAGCTGAAGTTGGCCACTTCACAGACTGAGCCACCCAGGCACCCCTGTCTCATTTCTTTTTAATGTATCTTTTTATGGAGTGAATTAGTCAACTTTGAGGTGTATATTTTAATTTTTTTTAATGTTTATTTATTTTTGACAGAGAGAGACAGAGCATGAGCGTGTGAGGGGCAGAGGGAGAGGGAGACATAGAATCTGAAGTAGGCTCCAGGCTCTGAGCTGTCAGCACAGAGCCCGACACAGGGCTCAAACTCACAAACCGTGTGATTATGACCTGAGCCGAAGTTGGATGCCCAACCGACTGAGCCACCCAGGCGCCCAGAGGCATATATTTTAAACAGTGCCTAAAATTCTAAAGTTAGTGGCTGATCCAGAACCAACAGTCAGTTCTTTTTCTAATTCTCATCATCAAATTTCACTATGGAACCTTAGACATTTCAAAGTATGGTCTGTGAATGTCCCTTAGACCATAAACATAAGTTGGTTTCTTGTTGTGTTAATATATATAACATGAGAGTGCCTGCAACTTTGTGTTTAATTTTTATGTATTTATTTATTTTGAGAGAGAGAAAGCATAAGTCGGGGAGGGGCAGAGAGAGATGGAGAGAGAGAATCCCAAGCAGGCTCCATGCTGTCTGTGCAGAATCCAACTCAGGGCTCAGTCTCACGAATTGTGAGATTATGACCTGAGCCGAAATCAAGACTTGGATGCTTAACCTACTGAGCCACCCAGTGCCCCACCTTTGTGTTTAATTTTATTTATAATAACCTTTTGATAATTTCATTTGAAAGGTATGTCATTGGAATTTCCTCAAAACATTAATTGTAATTTATTTCTAGTTATAAGCAGGTATGACATATGGCCCATAGTTTGAAAAATATTTTATAAATGCTCTTGTATTTTTTACTTCAGAGGTTTTCACATTATAGTAAATGTAATTGGGAGGAAGATTTTGGGAGACCAGAAACAATAGAACAAGTCAAGGAGGTAGAGGAGTGTCCTCATTAGTCTTTTCCTGTTTATGACCTGACCAAGTGCTCTGTAACTTACCTTCACAACTAGAATCTAAACTTCCATAGGGCAGATACCTACTGTGTATCGTTTTGTTGCATACTAAGTTAAACACAATAATTTTAAAGGAAAAGTTGATCATTTGTACTGATTCATTGTGGTTTTCAGCTTATACACAATATAAGGATTTTTGCTTATATTTAATAATAATTTAAGAATACATTTAAGCCTTTTGTTAATTTTGTATAAATCTTTTTGTTTGTGTGTTTCTAACAGAGTGATGGCAGTTCCTGCCACAGTCATTTATTTTACCTGCTATGATCAATTAACTTATTTTCTGAAATCAAAATTAGGAGAAAATGAAAGTCATATACCAATTGTTGCTGGAATTGTTGCTAGATGTAAGTAATAAACTTATTGTTTAATAAACTTAAACATATTGTTATATCATTTTGATTTCAGTTTAAAGCTTATTTTAAAATTTTGACAGTCACAGATAATGTTCCATAAAATACAGAGTATTGGTAAGATGTATTTTGCATTGTAGTTTGTACTGATTTGTTAATATCTATACTCTTTGAGTCGTAGTATGGTGATTGCCATAGGATAGGAGGGGATCAACCCATCCCTTTTGAATCTTGGGCAGAGAGGTTAGACTTTATATTTTCTAGATTTTAGAGTTACATCAGATGTCAGATTAATGTCAGGTTGATATCAAATTGATGCCCAAGTCCTGAATCATTTTCCTTGTAGACTCTGGGATTCAGAGTCTATTCAGAAGGGAATTTGCCTCTGTGAAGAAGGATATTTCTCTCCATGAGAAATATAAAAGTGAGGTTTTATAGTATTTTAATTGATGTGTAATATTTCTGGAACTGCTCTTGAAAGACTTGAAACTAGGCGCACCTGGCTTTGCTCAGTGGGTGGAGCACATGACTCGTGATCTCAGGGTTGAGAGTTTGAGCCCTACATTGAATATAGATATTAGACATTACACGTTACTTTAAAAAATAAAATAAAATCTTAAAAAAAAGAAAAAGAATTGAAACCAGAAAGAGGAAGTTAAATGAAAACAGACTTTTAAGAAATACCCTTATCAAGGAAAAATAAGGTGCTCCAATATATTGGCATCCTTACCTATTTGATTTTAAGGTTTGCAGACATTTCAGAATAAATTTTTTTTATATATAATGATGAAATATTTTTGTATATATGTTTGCATCGTACATGGTTTTGTTTTTATTTTCTTATATTTACTTGTTTGTATTAGTTGGTGCAGTAACTGTGATAAGTCCATTAGAATTGATTAGAACCAAGATGCAATCTAAGAAGTTTTCTTATGAAGAATTACATCGATTTATCAGCAGGAAAGTGTCTGAAGATGGTTGGATTTCCCTTTGGAGGGGCTGGGCTCCTACTGTTCTTAGAGATGTACCATTCTCAGGTAGGATTTATTTTAGTATCTGCTCAATTTTAGGTAGTGTTGTCTGATGTATATATCACTTTTAAATCAACTAAATTTAAACCCTTTAAGGCTAACAGTAAGTTATCTTCTTTAGTGACCATAAACTTCTAGTTTGTTGTTGGGCTCTCAGATCTTTATGAGTCTTTATTGAATGAATAGTATCTGTCTAATACAAGCTTTTCTTTTTTCTTTCTTTTTAACTTTTTAAAAGATATTAACTGGTATGTAGTCATATTTAGATAATACAAACTACCTTTGACATTATTCTAAATGCCATAATTAGTAAGGTAAATAAATTAATACAAATCAAAATATAAAATACATTAAATACCACCTGTGAATTATATTGATTCCTGCTTTTTCAATTATTACAGATCAAAATCTTCCCCTTTGAGTATCCTATAAAACACTATTATTAATCAGAAGATTGTGCTAATTATTGAATTATGAAGAAACAGAATATTATGAAAAAGTATAAAACTAACAAATAACTTACAAAATGTGCATACTTCAGTAATATTTCTCTTGTGAATCACAGAATTTTCTGTTTAAGACCTGAGATGAATAATTATTGAGAACCCTTGTATTAAAGTTCCTCTTTCTTCTTTCCTTTGAGTTCATCCTTTTCTTGGGCTCTCTTATTCACATGCATCTTGCCCTTTCCATTACTATTTTTCTTCAACCTTCTATATTTAGTTTATGCTATTTAGAAATATAGATTCATAGGCCAATTATTTTTTTTACTATAATATTTGACAAGTAGAAAGTAACAGTATAAATTATGAAGTATAATAATAAAGTGAACACATGTGAAGTCACCAGTTCAATCTCTGAACTAGAACACTGCAGTTTTTCAAATCATGACATATATCCGCCTCGACTGCCACATCCAGTGGTCACTGCTATACTGAATTTTTTTTACCATTCATTTGATTTTTTTTTTAAATATAAAATTTATTATCAAATTGATTTCCATACAACATCCAGTGCTCATCCCAACAGGTGCCCTCCTCAGTGCCCATCACCCACTTTCCCCTCCGTCCCACCCCCCATCAACCCTCAGTTTGTTCTCAGTTTTTAAGAGTC